ACATATCATGATGGCTCTTATACGTTTCGGACCTGAGGATTTTTCTTAGTAAAATAAACCTTATAAGAAAGATGTTATCAATAACGACAGGGAAACTGGAATGGCCATTTCTGGCGCCTTAGCCGTCATCAACCAGTGATACCTAATGCCATGTGTAGATCGCCTGAGAGTCGAACCCGTAAGCTCTTGGCTATGAGTCCAACGCTCTAACCATTGGGCCACGGATTGGTTGTCTTGTCGATTTAGATCGGGAATATTGACCTTGGCGGATGAACACTCAGCAGTCAGTAGCAATTAATTCGCGCTGTTTTGGAGGACAAAATTGTTCGAGTAACGTGCCAACCTGTAGGAGCTTGATTGTGGTGAGTAAATTAACTGGAGCCAAGTTGCGATGGTGATGGCTGTGACATCCAGTACGTCAATGTTATATTCGCAGTTTTGTTTGCTACTAACTGCGTGTTAGTAACCAGAATTATCCGAAGCACGTGTTCCTTGTCCCCGCTTGGTCGATTCCCTTTGACCTAGTTCGCCGCATTCGCATTCACTGACCCCCCTTGTCCTTGTTCACTTATAAACTAGTAGCCACGCTTTGGAGTCATTCTCAAGACTGCTCATCTAATGAACTCAAATTTATGTCCACCCTCGTTGATTTTTAACCCGTCTTTTTAACTTTCCTGTCCGTTTAATCTTGCTTTTTAATACTATTGAACCACAATATATATCCGCGTTATCCCGGTTGTCTTCTGTCATACCTTTTGACCTCGGGTGCGCCTCTTCTGATGAACAATCTAGTTCTGAAACAAAATCCATACAATTTTACCAATGACAATATACTTACTGGAGTCATTTCTCTTTCTTAAAATTCCTTCTTGTTCTCATGCCTAGATCCCCAAAACGGACGCCCATAGAGCTAAACACTCTTACTTCATGGGCGCACACACAACCTCTGAACACGGTCCAGGTTATCGGCTCCAAGAATGCCCACAACATCATCACGCTGAGCTCAGACGGGTTCATGTGCGTCTGGATTGTGGAAATGTTGGGAGAACCGAGGGAGAAGGTGGAGGTCTGTGATGCACCCTCCGCTGGCCTGATGGATGTCTTCCCCACCTGCATGGCTTTCTTCGCCAACGATCAAAATAACTACGTGGTGGGCTCTGAAAGTAGCAACATCTACACCGATCAACGACATTCCAGGTTTGGCCCCCTTTTCAAAGCATCGCATTTTTGCGTCCCGAGTTTTCTTTCTTTCAAATTTATGCACAACAGCGGAACTCTGTTATAACTGTCAGTTATCTTTTTCTGTGAACGGTCGTTGCAAGTGGTGGCAGCCGAGGTGGTCGGCACTCAACCCGGGAATCTAACCCGTGACCCCGAGATTAGGCGTCCGGTGCTCTACTGACGGAGTCAGCGGACGCTATTAGCAGCTTGTTTTCCGTGTCTAGGACCTCTGCTTTTGGCGACCGCCAACTTACTTGCAAATAACGTTTTTTAGCTGTGGCATAATATAAGATCGTCGGCACTCCCGCTCGGTTGCGATCCGTACCGCCCACTTGTTTCTGTGAAGACGTAGCCTGTTGTACGCACCCTCCCCCCCTCCAGTCGTGTCTGGCACACGTAGACTGCGCGGAAGTCACCGTCCCTAAACCCATTTCTTTGAGGAGTACGCGATGGTACACGGTCCTTTGAGACGTTCTAATCGGTGCCCAACCACGCCGGAGATCGAGCACATGTTGAGTTTGGGGATTACCCGGCCGTTGTCTAGTCCATGGGCCTCTCCACTGCATATGCTAGCCAAGAAGTCATTCGACGATTGGAGATCATGCGGTGATTATCGTGCTCTAAATAGTTCGTTGAAATATTACGCATTCAATAGGCTTGAGATCTGGTTCATTTCGAAGCCAGCCTTCTTTGGATGTGTTTCTTTTGTCTGCCAGCTTTTCGAACTAGAATCTGAATTCTCCTGATTACTGCTCCTGATTACTGCAGCCTTTATGGAACCTGACAACTTTTTTTCATCCGAAAGCTCCCCCCTCCCCCCCTTGTACTCGATACGCTTACGATCATGTCTGATCAAGTCAGCCTCGATGATGTCACGCATTGTACCTCTCCAAGCATGAAAATTTGCGGTAGCAGATCACGAAAGCTCAACTCCTCTTCTCTTCTCCAACGCCGGCAACCGAATACCAAACGTCCATGAACCGCTTCCACCGGAGTTGGCGAGACGCACATAATTTCAGCACGGCAGACGTATGATCTGAGCGCTCCTTCAAGACTATTACGCGAGGCTTCCCAAGTACCGTCAGAGGATTGACGAAGAGAATGCAAACTGGTTCGAGTTCGTGGGCTAGAATGGTACGCAATTGCTTCAGCAGAGAGGATGGCCGATGGAGCCTGCGAACACAAAGCGGAACGCGAAGCTACACTTGAAATTAAGTTTCGCAAGCTACCTAATCCAGACATGACAACCTGGTGCACTACCTGTCGTGCAAGGAGCTGACGGAGGAAGAAAACTGTGGGTGCTAAGGCATGAAGCCTCATCCAAAACAGCTGACTCGACAATAGTGTGTTAACTGCTTCCACGTCCTGAGGAATTGTGTCACATCAGATCTTGAGTTGAGCTCCTGTTCGACGCATCCAGAGTCAAATTCTTTCCCACTGACTTGTGGAGTTCGACAAGGATGCCCTCTTTCTTCAGTTCTCCTCAACTTCTTGATCGACTGGGTGATGCATCAATCAATTCTACCTGACAGTGGATCTGAAATGAGCCCTAAATTCCGAGTACGTGACTTGGAGTATGCCGATGACATTTTCATACTTTGTAATACCCCTCAGTCACTACAGTCAACACTAGACCGAATCACCAGCTTTGTTGCAACTGTTGGTCTGACGATTATTATACGCAAGACGAAGTTCCTGAGTACGCATCTTGGCACAGCAAAACCACTGTTTATCAGCGGTCAACCCATCGAAGAAATTAGCTGCTTCCGCTATTTGGGCTCGAATGTTCTAGCAAACGGACAGGCCAAAGGAGAAATCAAGAACCGAATCGCGCAGGCTCGAAATTCATTTTGCCTGCTAGCCAGACCACTCTAGTCTCGCTCAGACATCAGCTTACGTACGAAGCTGCTGATATACAGAACATCAGTCAGACCGGTACTAGTATATGTTTGCGAAACATGGCCTGTCAGAAAGGCAGACATCCAGTCGCTCGAAGCCTTTGACAGTTGGTGTCTTCGACGCCCCTTAGGAGTCTTTTGGCAAGATCAAATTTCCAATGTCGAGCTATATTGCAGGTGTTTCAAACTACCAAGTCTAGCATCATACATCCAACATGGCTGATTGCCATGGTTTGGCCATGTTCTGCGCGAACCATCGACGGACCTCTGCAGACTGGCCGTGAATCCCTAACGTAGTGCAAACTAGAGATACCGCCATGGCGGTTAACTGAAGACGTGGGTCAACACTGTCAAGTCGGACGTCGAACGGATGGGCCTCGTAACCGTTAATGGCTTGCGGTAGAGGATTTGTGGGGAGCTTGCCTCCAATCGCCGCCAATGGGCTGCCGCTATCCGTGACATCCGTGAAGCCGATTCATCCAACGTCAGGAGCTAATCGGATCAAGTACAAG